GGTTATGTTTCTTTCACCTTGCTTGATGGAATGCATTTCTTGAAGGATATCAGAGATCCTAAAGTAATCCCCCTTAGAAAATCTTCCTTTCAATTCATCCCAAAGATCTTTAGCATTATCCACATATATCACACTCTCAGCAATTTGAGGGGATAAACTCTTGACAATCCATGAAAGAACTATCATATTTGATATTTCTCATGAATCATGCACAAGGTCATTTCTTGTGGGAGTCTTTATGCTTCCATCAAATGAACTTGAGTTTATTCTTAGACAAAAGAACATGTTTCGTATTCCTACTCCAAGAGTAATTAGATTCATTTAAAGATTGTGCAACAAGATTAAGACTTGAGTTTTCTTTATGGTGACAGTAGTAAGGGCTTGAAGGATGAAGAGATTGATCTATTGTGGTTTTTGTTTCTTGTAACATCTAAAAAAAAATGAAAGATAAGGTTAACTTATCTTAATGGATAAGACTTATCCAAGTCATAAATGCATTTAATGACTTCATTAAGTAAATAATAATAATAACAATAATAATAATAATAATAATAATAATAATAATAATAATATGGCTATAAATGGGAGGGGGAGGGATTACGTAGGAGGAAAGAAAAATGGAAAGAGAAGAAAGGGAAAGAGAGGAGAGAGAAGGAAAGAAAGAAAGAAGAAAGGGAGAGAAAAGAGAGGGAGAGAGAGAAAGAGAGAAAGAAACATGAAGGGAGAGAAAGAAAAGGAGATAAAGATAAGTCACATCTGCAAAATTTTGGTACATCATCTGCAGTTCTTAAGGTAGGGGAGGAGAATATTATCATTAAATCTATCTTATTTTGATTATAGTTGTGGAGTGAGGTGTCTCTAACCTCATTCTATTTATTTAGTTACTTGTTTGTATATCTCTAACTACGTAATGGTCCTGTCTTATATTTGTTTATTTTACTTTATCTCCAGTCTTGCACTGATCCTATTTTAATTATCTCCAGTTATGTACTAATCCTGTTTGTTTATTTTACTTTATCTCCAGTCTTATACTGGTCCTATTTTAATTATCTCCAGTTATGTACTGGTTCTGTTTGTTTATTTTATTTTATCTTCAGTCTTGCACTGGTCCTATTTTAATTATCTCTAGTTATGTACTGGTTTTGTTTGTTTATTTTATTTTATCTTCAGTCTTGCACTGGTCCTATTTTAATTATCTTCAGTTATGTACTGGTCTTGTTTGTTTATTTTACTTTATCTCCAGTCTTGCACTGATCATATTTTAATTATCTCCGGTTATGTACTGGTCCTGTTTGTTTATTTTATTTTATCTCTAGTAATGCAGCGATCCTATTTATTAATTTATAGTTATATTATTTAATTATAATAATATCTATTTGTGAAGATTTGATGATATTGTAGATTGAGGTTGGACCTTAGGGATTTAAATGAGTAAATATCATTGGGAGAGTGATTAAAATTGGCCTCATTTATCCCGACTAGTCATTACAAATTTAATTTAAATCTTCATAAAATAGAATGTGTTGAGGAAGTTGAAACATATATATATATATATATATATATATATATATATATATATTATAAAATTGTTTTATTGTAAATGATAAATGTTCTCACTCCCTATTGTGATCTTTTGTGCATGTTTTACTGAAATATCAACTTAAGTAGATGGAGGCGCTAAATATTCCAAATCTCTTTTCTGCAAGCATCACTACCTTCTTTCCAGGAACTACTTGGAACACGAACGTTATAGACAACTCGGTTACTTTTAAAGGGACAAGATTATCAATAATAACATTTGCATCTGATATGAGAAATTTCATTATGTTAGATGGACCAGTAGTGGTTACCTTTTGTATGCCTCCTACCTTTTACCAAAACCCCTTAATCAGTTTGTTTCCACCGGCAATGTAGATATTTGTATAATTGTAGAAAAAATAGAAGGAATCAAAAATAAAATTTCTTCCTCTTTTGTATATCTTATATACATATATATATACATATATATATACATATATATATATATATACATATATATATATACATATATATATACATATATATATATAGTGATGTAAATTACTTTTACATATATGTAATATTTTTTTGACCTGCTACTCTTATACAAATAATAATAATAATAATAATAATAATCATAATAAAAATAAAAAAAATGTCACATTTCTAATATAGTTGTCTCCATTGATCAAGAGGGCAGAACAACACCAAGAAGGAAGAGAAAGATGGCAGTGGAAGTAGAGCAAGTATTCAAACTGCTTCGATACCATAAAGACGAGTAGCATGAGAAGCAGGACTTCGTGGTGTCCCATGGCAAAAATCTGAAAGATGCAATCAGAGGAGAAGAAAAGAAGAGAAATCTGGTATGTATTCATTCTCTGCACGAATCTGTATTTTTGTATATTCAAGAAGAGGAAAATTGCTTAAATAGGGTTTCAAAAACCCTAAAACATAAATCCTATTTTGTTTTACAAACAAGTAATGAGAATAACAAAATAACTCATTCTAATAATATAAATTTCAAAAATTAATTTGACACTAATGACTTTGACAATTGTTCTCGTTCCTTCTACGTCCATTTATTTTTTATTGTCAATTCTTACTTTAAAAACATCAGATTCGTTTAACTCTTTGAAAATTTAGTAATCATAAGTTATATGATGTCTCAATTGATTACATTTTCGACATTTAACATTTGACCTCCAACACTTATTGTGTGAATTTCTTACAACGGGAATAAAAAAGATACATAATTTGTTACTTTTGTAGTTCTTGGCGTAGAGAACACCTTCAATATGATATAATAAAGCACCTTCAATAACATGATATTCTCTCATCAATCTTCAATGTTCTTATATCTTTAAAACATGTAACATTTCTATCAAAGTAATCTTAGACAGATCATTTGTGTCTTCTAACAAAGTAATAAATGATTTGTATCTCTTTTTCACACTTACCATAATTTTCTTAATATTTTGAAATTAGAAAATTTTTTACCTAACAATTTTATCTTGTTAGTAATACCTAACAATTTGTTTGATTGTCCGTGACTCTTTCATCTTTTATAAACCAAATTCCTTTATCAAGTTTATAACTTTTATATCTCGAATATTCTTGTTCCCTTCATATTCTTTTAAAACAATTTCAAATTTGTTAAAGTAACTTTAGGCTGAGGTGGAGAGGGGGACTAGCAAGGACATGTCCAACAAAAAAATTCTTTTAAGATTTTATTAAAAAATATAGTATGCCCCCTAAAAAATTATTTGTTTGCATTGACTCCCTAAAACTACTTTTATGGTTTCGCCTCTAACTTTAAGATCATGATTCTAATGTGAATTATTTATGAAATGATAATAAATAAGTATGACTTCGTTTTTGTCTTCTTGTTTTTCTTTTTTCATGAATTTTGATTTAGACCATAATGAAAAGTTTAAGTAATAGATCAACTATATAATCGTATTTTTCTCATATTTTCTCATAAATTTAACTATTCAAAATAAGATGCATTCTTCCATTTCAAAAGTCGTAATTTACTGTTATCAAAAATAGAATAATGATTAGAAGAAATTCCCTTCTCTTTCCATTTTAAAAATATAATAAAACCTAAAACTCTAAATATCAATATATAAAAATTAGGATTGAATATATATATATATATATATATATATATATATATATATTAAAAATATAATAAAATATTAAATATTCACAATATATAATTTTAACTATTTAAAAAAATAAAATATAATAAAAATTTCTTAATACCTAATTTAAACTAAAATATAAAATATTATATATATTCTCAATATATTAACAAGAAACTAATATGAGTTTTCACATGCGGTAAAGACTCACGTCATTTACCCAAAATATTTAAAATGTAAAAATGTTAAAGTTGAGAAGGCATATTTACTTATTTAATATCGATTAAAGTTTTAGGGAGATAAGTTGTTGTGCTCAAACGGGATACTCTTTGATAAGGAAAAAAAAACTAACATACTTATTCTTATCTTGTCTTTTAAATTCTTAAAATTGTAATTTTTCGTATGAGACACCTTAAAATTGGCTGAGATTATTATAACTTTTCAATCATTGTTGACTATTATTATACAAAAATAAATTCATAAAACTTGATAGATTAACATAATGATTAAACACTCTACATTCATATATAGTAAAGAATGATTATGTATCCGAAAATTCTTGTTCAACTATCATCTTATACCAAAATTTGTTAGGTAACTATTATCACATTAATTAGTCTCTAATTCAATAAGTTGAGGGAAACTTATGATAAAAAAAATCGAATTTAGTTTATTTTTTGGAATATAATTAATATGTTTTTCTTAAAGTAATATCACTAACAATAATAATATTTTTTTATAAGTATGAAATTTCTTAGTAAAATGTGAAATTGGTGATTATTATTTATAATTTTGTATCTTTAAAAAATATTTAATCTTTTCTGCAGAAATTTATTTTTCATACATACTCTTTGATCATTTAGAAAAATAAAAAACATTTTATATGAATTTTGAAGCATGCGTACCAGAAAAATATATAAAATAATATATATAAAGAGAAAAAATCATATATATATATATATATATATATATATATATATATATATATATATATATATATAAAAGAATGTGTATTTATACATATGTATGTATGCATTGGTGTTGTCTAAAAATGGGATGGGGATAAGGTGACTCTAGAAGCAAAGGTAGGACGAGAATTGGGCGATGCGGTGTGAATATCAAATAATTCGTGCGGAAAAGGTTGGAAACTAAACTATCTGATTGCAGCAAAAGAAGATAATAATTAGTGCGTGTTTGGATGCACGTTTGAAGTCATGGATCTATATTTCACATAAAACCAAAAGCTACTCAAAACCAACTTCAACATGCATCACAATTCGCGTTTACCAAGCACTTAACTTAATCTATTACGGACTTGTCCTTTCTTCCGAGGGCCCAATGTCCATGCCTTCCTGCATCGTTAACAACACGAAGTCAAGGAATGCCTCGACGTCAACGCGCTTTAGATTAATTGGTTTTTGAAACACTTTCTTAGGGTTCGTCATTTTCTTCTAACGTGATTTTACGCATGAAAGCTGGAGCTGATTTAGGACTGATGAATGTGTCTATTTTGGTTAGCATATGAAAAGGTCATATATTCTTCTTAATTCCAAAATATGATTATATATTTATATTTTTCCCATCTACTTTGTTCATGTCATATCTTTAAATTCAGGTAGAACGGGTTGATTTCTTATAATTAGGATAGATTATAGATTTCGTCCATTCATAACTGATGGATTACTGAATTAACTTGTCAATGAATTTTTTTATATATATTTTTTAAATATATTTTTAATTATATAAATAATTTTAAAAATTTTATTTATTAATTAATATTTTTATTAGATAAATTAAAAAATATTATATATATATATATTAATAATTAATTATAATTAATAATTTAAATTTAATTGATTAATTTTTATAATTTAAATTATAATAGTATAATATATTTATATATATTAATAACATCACACACAAAATATAATATTTTTAATTATAATTTTTTATATTTCAATTTTAATATATAAAATTTTGTTTAAATAATTCGGTCTACATCGTTCTACCCTTCATCACGTTGGCATATTAGACGAAATGAATGATGAATAAACTAACTAAAACCATCAATTCATTTTATTATTATTATTTATTTTTATTTTTTTAACCGAAGAACTAACCCGCAGAAGCTAATGAATTTTATCATCTACTTTTCTCATATCTTTTCTCAAACTCTTACACCTGAAAAAAAAATTATAATTAAATTATTTTCATATAAGTAGTGAGTTATTAATTATTTTCATATAAGTAGTGACTTATTTTCGAAAATCAGCCTGAATAATCTGAAAACAAGTTATCAACATTTCATAAGTTTTCGTGTACTCTTTCAAACAAACATACTATAAGCAATTAAATAAAATAAAAAAAATAAGCTCTTCCAAACCTTTATAATGGTTTATGTCATTTACTTGTCAAGATTGACAAACTCAGTTTTAAATATAAAGTAATCAATTTCAATGGTTAATTAAAAAATTAACAATTTGTATCGCAGTTACAGTTATTATAATATTTGATCTTCTCATCAGTTAATACTTACTCTATAATTTTTAGTCCATTTAGAAAAGTCAAATCGTCATATTTGGCTATAGGGAAAAACTTTTCTATAAGAAAGAAATATTAAAAAATAATAAAATATGATAAAAAATTAAATTAATGTTTCATAAATAAAACTAAACATTTACGTAAGATATTATAAATTAACTTATAAACTAAATTTAGTGTAAGAAAAAAAATCATTTCATTTTCTTTTTTGTCTTTCTTGAAATGTTTATCAAACAAATCTTGTAACGTGATTATAATATTGAGTGAAATTTTCATTGCTATAATATATAAGCATATTTGAACATAATATATAAAAGTAATGGTCTGAATCGATTATTTAATAATAAATCAGATATTATTTTTTCTTTAATTAAAATTAAAGATAATATGATATTTTAATAAACTATAGTACAATATATAAATAATATACTATTTAAACCATTAATTTAAATTTAATGTGTAATGGAATGTTAATAATTATGAATTTTTTAACTTTATATGTTCATAAAAAGATAGGTAAATAAATAAAAATATATATTGTGCGTACTCGACTTATAAGGATATGAGTTTTAAAAATACCAGAAGATAAAGTTTTAATATTTACAAAAATAAAACTGGTTTAACGAAGTTGGGAAAATTCTATAAATGAAAATTAAACAGTTTATTTTAATAAATTTAAAACTTCTATTTTAAAGATTTCTAAATTTTTAAAATTTTTCTAAATTTATATGTCTTTCTAAAATTTGGAGATATTAGAGTTAGTTGTATAATGTTTCAAGTTATCTCCATTTTTTTTCTTATTAGCTTTGATAACATCTATGCTCAATTTTGTTAGTAAGGAGACACATAATCTATTATGAATTTCTCATAATCACTGGTTAGATTCTAGCTAATCTGTTAATACATTTGAATTAAGGTGTTTTTTACTTAGAAGTAGTATCTTATTACTTTCCTAATTATTGGAGTGACTTTAATAATGTAATTGTTTTACTCCCAATTTTTGTAAGCTAGCTTTATTCTAACTATCAAGGTTTTATATTAGGCGTGATTAGTTGAACCCTTGAATTTAAATCTCAAAGCATATTTAAATAATAAATAGGATAATATCACTCCCTTTCTTATTTGATGACCTATCTACACTTAGATCCATTATTCACCTTCCTGGGGAGGAATTTGACCAAGAAGCCAATTAGAAATTAGGTTTTTATTAGTTCTTAACTCTTGTGAATTATGTCAAATTCAAATAATTTTACAAAACTATATGTTATCATTCTCTACACAGAGTTTTTACAACATTTGTTTGATCGGGTAGTCATTCTTGATGATTATTTGAAACTTTGAAAATATTTTCTTAATATTCTAGTCGAGTTAATAAAGAAGAAGATTAACTTTACTATAGTTGAATATCTCTATTTTGCTAGTTGAAGAATTGTACTAATAAAATAAACTAAATTTTTTCCCTTCATTGCACCTTAGAACTAAGCTTATGGTTAAAATATTTTGTTACACTTTTCATTTAACTCAATGTTTTGTGCATGTTTTAGTAATTTAAAAAAATGATTTGACTTTTTCGAACAATTTTGTCGATAAACAAGATAAGAGGTTGTCATTTAATCATTGAACTATTTTAGTATTTCTTTGTTTTTACATTGCAAAGATTGTTTCACACTTATTTGGATTGCCTCAATATCTCTAAATAATCATAGAATTAATGAACTTTCTTCCTATTACTCTGAATCCCCATTTCTCCAAATTTAATCTTATATTATGTTGCATACCTACATGTTCAAGATGATTTATTGTCTTACTTACTACCATGTTATCCATATATGCTTTCAAAATTTCCTTAATAAGGCCTTTGAAAACTTTGTCAATCAATCTTTGATATATCGTTTTTGCATTCTTTAGTGCAAAAAGCATAACTTTGTAACATAAATTATCTTATTTAGTAATAAAGGTTTTGTTTTTCATTTGATGGGTATATTATAATCTAATTTTAACCCGAGTATACATCTAAAAAACTTAAAATTTCATATCTAGATCTTATGTCGACAAGTTTATCTATACTAGATAAAAAATATTCATAATTTTTATTATAGGTTTTGTTCAAGTATGTGTACTTTGTACACATATATCATTTATTGTTAGCTTTCTTAACTAACATTGTGTTGTCAAATCAACTGGTATAAGTTACTTCATAAATGACAGTTGAATTTTAAAATTTGTTGCTCTTTTGTTTGATGGTCATGCACCTTTCTTTCTTTCTTTCTTTTTTTTGTATGTTATGAGTTTAGCTTTAGGTAAAATAGAAAGTTTATGACAAATAAAGTTAGGATCAGTATCTGACATATCAATATGTTCAATGCAAAGAGGTCAATATTTTTTTTTGAATAGATCTTCTAGTTGCTTTTGAATTGGATCATCTACTACTTAACCTATATGTGTCACCTATCTTGGATTATTTTCTAGTGGAAAATAAAAAATTTGTTTATCAAAACTTTTTTTTTCCTCAAACTCTTCTTGAGGATCTACATATACCACATCTTTCTCGAACTTTACATAATGTTGTTGATGATGATAGCCCTTTACCGAGACTGAAAGGCCAAAAGTTTCTCCTCTTGAGGTGTTCAATGTGTAAGATTGTACTTTTAAACTTATGACATAACACTCTTGAGCTTCTTTTGGATCTGTTTTAATGGTGGAAATAATACCACCTTCCACTAGAAACTTCATGATCATATGCAGTGTAGACACAATGTCTCCTAATTAGTTTAAGGTTCTCCCTCCAATGAGAATGTTGTATGAAGTGTCCACTTCTGTAAGAATGTAACGAATCATGATGTTTTTTCTTTCTCTCCCGATGCTAAAAGTTGTTAAGGAATCAATGTATCTCCAAGTTTGTACGTGGTCTCTAACTAACCCAATAGAAGGTTTGAATATGGTTTGATGAGATCACGTTATATATCTAATTTTAAGACTGTTGACCAATGTAGCATATCTAATGAGCTTCCCTAATCTATCATTACTAGGAAAATGACTTTTAACATTGATTATTTTTGGCATTTTACACTTATAGTAGACCTGCCACCAACACAAAGTGAATGAGTTTTCAAAAATCGATGTAAAAAGTGGACATATAACATTAGATGTATAAAGAATCACTTTATACATTGGTTCTTCACTACATCGATATAGAAAGTGACATACTATATTGGTTCTTTATACAATCGATGTAGTATGCATTTTTTTTAAATTATTTTATTTTGTTTTTTACTTATAAAATTTTGATTTTTGCATAATCAAACTAAATATTTATTTTTAGTTAATACAAACTTCGAAAAATAATATCAATTCAAAAAACTTAGAAAAATAATAACATAATTTTTTTTAAATAAGAAATTATCTCATAAATTTAACGAATAATATAAAAAATGAATAAATACTAACATTGAGAAGAAGAACAATTGGTGGAAGCAATAATGGTAGGAGAAGATTGCGACTAACTTACAACAATGGTGAAATTAGAAAGAGTGATAATCAACTTGCAAAAAGTGTTGAGAAAAGGAGAAGCAGCTTAGAGGCACAAGACTTACTCATGGTAAGGAGAGTCTATGTGGCAATCTTGCTTACTAATTAAGAGGATGACAAACACATTCATGATGTAACAGAGGTGCTTGACTCTAGTTTGCAGAGAATCAAGATAGATAAATGGTTATGGTCATAGTACAAAGAAGAAGAGAAACATAGTGTTCTCACTTTTTGTGAAGAAAATGATATAAAAAGTTATAACATAATAAAATATGTCCTAAAAAAAGTATATTACATCAGTTATTTAAGTAACCGATATAATATGTATATACTACATCGGCTTCTTGAGTAACTAATGTGATATGTAAACATATATTACATCAATTACTCAAAGAACCGATGTAATATGTACATATTACATCAGCTACTTTAATAAATACTGTAGTATATGTTTGTTTTATTTACAAAAGTATTAGTGCATGATTTATTACAATGGTTCCACTACAACCCATGTAATATAATTGACATAAATTCATGTTTTTGCACAAATGTATCAATATCTTTTTTTTCCCCTCCCACCAATTAACTATGTAATCAATATAACCATTTGATCATCTTAAGTTGGGTCATGATTGTTAAATTTTGTGCTAGTGAATGTCATGATGGAAAGTGTCCTTAGTGGATAAGATCGTGCTATATTAATGTTGTGCACTACTCTCAAATGTCTTTTTTTGCATTGAACTTGTATTTCTTCCTTTGCAAAATCATTGATAATTGTGTTTATATACCTCGTACCCTTATATTTCATTATGAGGGGTCAAGGGTTGAAATTTTGTCTATGGGTTGCCATATCCTTATCTATGACCATAATGTCATTTGCATCCTTTCTCACAAAATTCACTTCTTATTTGCTTTTCATTAACTCTTCATACAAAATGGTCTAAAGATCCTACTTGGATTAGGTCTTTTAGAACTTCTCCAACTTTTTGACATAACTCGATAGTATGACCATAAATGAGTCACATTGTTTATTTCTATAAGCATTGTTAGGTGTGGTTAAAGGTTGTGGGGGGTTTGATTAACTCCATGTTGCATGCTTCTTTTAGCACCATATTTACATCAGTGTTAAGCAAGGTAAACCTTTCTCTTTTCAACCTCTTTTCTGAGTTATATATATTGGTTGTGTTGTCTTGCTCCTACTCTCTTCTCTTTTAGAGCTCAGTATCTTCCTTTAACTGTATGAACTTTGATGCTTGGTTTCTAAGCTCATCCATACTTTGAGAATAGTCCATGTAAATATTGTCTCGAAACAAGTCTTTTCATAATCTTGCAAACATAGCATGTATTGCAACATTAGGTGGAAGATTTGATGCAATGATGCTTATGTTAGACAAATGGCATCTAGAGGGGGGAGAATAGATGCATAAATTGAAATAGATGTCAAATTAAAAATTTATTTTAGATGTCTAATAACTTGTTAATTCAATTTTAAACCGGAAGCAATAATATGATCAGGAAGATATAAGAGAAGTGATTAAGAAAAGTAAAGTGATAAAGATAAGATAAGAGCACACAGTAATTTATACTGGTTCGGGTATAGTTAACCCTACATCCAGTTCCCAGTCACCTCTAACACGAGAGTGACCACAATTCACTATCTTTTAAATTCAGTTTACAAATTACAATCAACTCAGCAGAGAAACCAGTAAAGAGTAAACTAATTAAAAAGACAATCACCTCCTTAGAAACCCACTAAGGATGAACACCTCCCTAGAATCCCGCTAGGGATGAACACCTCCTCTGAACAAATCAAAGGATGAACATACCTCCTTAGAATTCCACTAAGGATGAACACCTCCCTAGAATCTCACTAGGGATGAACACCTCCTCTGAACAAATCAAATGATAAAAACACCTCCCTAAACAAATGAAAGGGATGAACAGTTTCCACACAGGAAACCCAAAGAAATATAACAAAATAACAGTGACTACTTAAACCCTAAACAGGGAATCTAATAATCAACCACTTAAGCCCACAAAGGATGAAGGTAATAAAATAAGAACAGTCACACCTGGGTAATAGAGACAATAAATTGTATAAGCATGTAGAATGCCAACATCCAAGAACAAGTGTGATTAACAATGAAAGCACAGAAGACAGTATGAAAATGTTTTCTCAGAAAACCTAAAAATGCTTTGTTACCTTGCTCAAAAATTATTTTCTCAAAACTGATAGAATGTAAATTGAATTTTTGAATTCTGTAATTTTTGTGTTTTTTATTTTCTATCAAAACTTAATTAAATAGAAAAATAGCATCAGAAAATGGTCGTTGGATATTAATATTTTTGTGGATAAAAATCAGGATATATTCAAAAACATTTATTCTTCAAAACATATATATTTTTGAATTTCGAACTGCCATAATCTATTATCTCCTCAGCATAATCGATTATGTCAGGGTAAAAATCAATTTCTCATTTCTGATGCATCATAATCAATTATGACAGTGAAAAATGGCATGTTACGAAATTTTATCACACTTGTGCTTTGGAGACTTATGCATAATATCACTTCATCAACTTATACCTCCATATCCAGTATTCTAAGACTCTATCTAATCTTCAGGAATCATCTTGGGCTTGCTTGAATCATCATCTTTATCAAAATCATATATTGAGTTTACTTGAGTCTTAAATGTTGTTGATTTGAATCATCATCAAAATCATCTCTTGGGAAGTAGGTTCATGTTTCACATTGTCATCAATCTCCTTCTCATTGCTTTCAACTTACAATGACAAATCATTCCACGAACCTTTTTAGGAATTCATTTTTGTCCTGCCTAGGGTTTTAGAGGATCACTGAAGTTGGCCATGTGGATATTGTTGTGAAATAGGCTTTAAATTTCTTGGTGAGAGTATCAAAAGAATCAATTAAGCATGAAGGAGGCCATAATATCATTTACGAGTTGCTCCCTGCAATGTCATCAGGAAATCCCTATAAAAGAAAATGTCATTATTTCTAAAAATGCTAACCCATGTTAAGTATACTCGAACATGCTCGTCCAGGTTAATGGCTCCACTATGATTTTTTCCATGACATTAGGCAAAAATGGGGTACTATGATTGATTTGTAAGGTGACTTTGAGTGTTAGGTTATTGTGTCACATTTGTTTAGTGATCAAATAAGGGTCTCTTCTTGTCATACTATATGTCAAGGATTAATGTTATCCCAAGTGTGAGATTCAAAAGTTGTTTCTTGATGTGTATCTCCTTCACATAATGAGTGTGTTCCTTCTTCCTAGTGTGATGGGAGGTGTGTGAGATTCCTCTTCTCAAGGCACAAAGGCTTGTTTATATGATGAGGGTTTCCTTACTAGGATACTTGCTTGCTTTTGAGAATTTATAATTTCTCTTTGTGTGTTTTGAAAGCCTTGAACTTATCATATGATGACTTTTTTTTCATTCGCTCTAAATGGAACGTTCTCCTCATTCTTCTATTAGATCCCTTACATGAGGCTATTAATGATGGTGTTTGCATTCATTTTAGTGGTTTACAAACTGCTTTGATCACAAGTTTAAAAGCATATGTATAAGAAAGTTTTACCAATATCTTATGATGGACAAAAAAAGTATGACTATCAGAAAATAAGGGTTTCAAATGAATAATTATAACTTTTTAATCCTAGTGTCGAACTTTATATGAAATTTGTAAAAGAGAAAGTTTCACCTATAAAAATATCATAATATTCAAGTCAATATTAATATGGAGAAAATAATAATATCATAATATATACATAAATAATAGTAATATAACTATATACAAAAATATTATTCTATTTATAAAATTTTTACCAAATTATTTTTAAATAATAAATAACAATAATTTAATATCTATTTATAATTATTTAAAAAATATATTTATTATGATTTAATAACATTAAATTCTTAATTTGTTTTCTTGTTCAGAAAGCTACACTTAGGATTCGAACTCAGACTATCTGCTCTTTAAAATATTTTATTAGCTCTATGTAACTAAGTCTGAATTTAGAGTTTGTTCGAATTTAATCGAAACTCTCTCTCTCTTTCTATATATATATATATATATATATA